CAGAGTTGGGTCGGTGCCAGTCCGTAGGAACGGAGAACTAACCTAAAGAACGGGTAAATTGGAAGCCTGAGACCTACCTTAAACAAGGTTTCACTTATGGCCACTGAGCAGAAGTATCTATGGGTGGAGCGGGTAGTCTCCAAATGTTCCCCCCGACCTGATGACTTTGCCTATTTCGTCTGAAGAAATGACTATTGGGTCCCTAATAATTGAGCTCTCAACACTTCGCCTCTCCCCACTCGTGGAAGTGTTTCCTGACCTTTTAGAAGCCATTTGGCTAGGTTTTGAAGAAAAATGAAGTGACTAGAAGGAAATTTTACCTAAAAATTTTATGGTTTGTGAGAAAGGGAGTCGCCAGAGTTCCCAGAATAGTCGTCGGAGTTTCACAACCTTGCTCGCTAGAGAAATTGAAACTAGAGAGTATAAGGATCTTGGAGATTCCACAAAGGTAAAAGTGGCAAAATGAGAAGTTTGAACCTTATATAGGTGTCTCTAGATTCACCGCAACATTAGATCATCTCAAATCACATCTAGGCCATTCAAATCTATTGTCCATCATCACCGTTGAAACCAAGATTCACATAAGCCAACAGCCCTGATGGAGCAGTGTACCTCACGCGCTGACCCAAACGCGTCGCCTTGAGCCCATGCAGCCGTCGTCGTGCTTACCATTTATGATCGTGGTGGCGTGTGTTGGAAGTAAGAAAGGCCTCCCATGATTACTTGGGAAGACGCTTCGTCCTTCAGCCAGGACTTTGCTTTGCAACAACTTTCCTCAAAGTTACCAACACCTATCACTTCGTCATCCAGCCAGGACTTTGCTTTGCAACGACTTTCCTCAAAGTTGCCAACACCTATCACTTCATCCTTCAACTAGGACCTCACTTGGCAACAGCTTTCCTCAAAGTTGCCAACATATCACTTCATCATTCAGTCGGGACTTCACTTCAAAGTTGCCAACACCTATCACTTCGTCTTTCAGCCAGGACTTCGCTTTGCAACAACTTTCCTCGAAGTTGCCAACACCTATCACTTCATCCTTTAGCTAGGACTTTGCTTTGCAACAAGTTTCCTCGAAGTTGCCAACACCTATCACTTCGTCCTTCAGCTTGGACCTCGCTTTGCAACAACTTTCCTCAAAGTTGTCAACACCTATCACTTCATCCTTCAGCCAGGACTTCACTTTGCAACGACTTTCCTCAAAGTTTCCAGCACCTATCACTTCCTCCTTCAGCCATGACCTCGCTTTACAACAACTTTCCTCAAATTTTCCATCATGTATCACTTCGTCCTTCACCCGGAACTCCGCTTAGCTGCAACTTCTCTCAACGTTGTCGACAGCTAGGAATACTCCTTTCATCAAGATCTACAACTGATGCATGCACCCCTTAAAATGACAGGACAACTGCTTCTATAAAGTCCATACATTATGTGAATATCCATACAAGGACTTGAGGGACTATTGTTACGGGCCTAATGAGGCCCTCCACCTCATCTACCACTTGTCACCCGAACTGCTTTGGTGTTACCATGGGCCAGACAAACCGAATTCATGTCGGACGAACTGATTTTATTACTCCGAACTGAAACACCATCGTCCCACCTAGTAGAAGAGCCGAACTCATCCGCTATTCACGGCGGATGCAAACGCCCGCACTCCATATGCATCATGGCTCACAATTTGCCTCGCCACATCCCTGCAAAGATCTTTTAGGAGATCTCTCCAAAATCAAATCCCAGACTGATTGATGGGACGTGTGGCAGACTACAAAAAATCAACTCAGCTACTCTATCAGGAACCATTTAATGTCCGCCAACCTATGGATTGACAGATTGACACCTATGAAAAGATAGGTCGCTTGGGATCCGAAGCCACGTGTCCACATCTTCCCTTTCTTAGTATAAATACCCCCTTACTGGTAAGAGTAAAGGGTTCTGATTCTTTCTAACAGCTGCATTCTAGCCTTTTAACTCTAAGAGCCTTTCATTACATTAACACACTTTCTCAACCACGCCCTGGTGCCCACTTCATCGCCGGGTACCACCTTCCAGTTGAACGAAATACTAATTTGACCATCTGAGTGCTCGCGGCCACTTTCACCCCCATCGAAAAAGGCCACGAGTGACTAACGGTGTGCTACCGTGTGCAAGGAGGAGCTTACGTGGAGTTTCGTTCTATTGGCCACATGTAGGAACCATTTTTCGAGATCAACATCTATCATAATGTCCTCATAGCATGAATGATTCAAGAAAGTGTTGGTTCTAAAAATGGTATTTCCCAAATTTTTAAGTCAAAATACAATATTAGTTTGAGCAGCTAATGAATTCATGGTCTCAGGTTTCTTCTGTTGTATCAACCTGTTGATATTGTACTAAGCATGTCTATCGATAAAGCATCTTTAGCTGAGATGTTCTTGAAGTTCTCTTTGAAAGTGATGCATGTTTCTTTGTGAGGACTCGTTTGAGCCCCCATTAAATTGGAAAAATGCATTTTCAAATAGTAGATTGATGGAGAATATGTGATTAAAAAATAAGAAAAATTTTGGATTTACATGTAATATTTTTTTATTAAAAAATGTGTGGTTAAAAAGAAGAGAGAGAAAAATGAAAATCAAACAAGGCCATAATTTCATTTCAGGCAAAAGTAGAGGACATTGAAACGGCCCTTGATGTTGAAGTCATTAAAATAGAGGAGTCGTCTTTTGATGCAAAGGGTCGTACCATCACTGTGGAATCAATCTCCACGGCAGATGAAAAACTTGTACTGAAAAGCTTGTATAAGAAGATTGCAAAAAATCAGAAAGTAGAAGAGGCAATGAAGAGTACCGCTGCCGAATTATCTACAGTTCAAGGGGAGTTGGAGCGTATGAAATCACAAGCGCAAGAAGTGGAGCAGAGTCTAGCATCAAAGGAAACTCGCATCAATGAATTGACCGAAGAATTGGGAATATCAACTGCTCGGTATTCCGACCTTGAGCTAGAACTCAAGAATGCCATGGACAAATGTGCTGAACATGAGGGACAAGCCAATACAACCCATCAGCGCAGCGTCGAACTTGAGGATCTAATGCAGATATCGCATGTTAAGGCAGTTGAGGCTGGTAAAAAAGTGAGTGAATTAGAGTTGCTTCTTGAAACAGAAAAATATAGGATCAAGGAACTTGAAGAGCAATGTGGGGCTGCAGAATCAGAGTCCCTGAAAAGCTCTCTGCAGGTTTCTGAACTTGAAGGACAACTTGAGGCTGTTCAAGTGAAAACTTCAAGCCTAGAGGTTGCATTACAGGCTGCCACTCATAAGGAAAAAGAATTGACCAAGCACTTGCATATGACCACAGAGGAGAATAGAAATTTAAAAGACACGTCAAAAACCTCAAATGAGAAGCTATCTGAAGTGGAAAATCTTTTTGAGATTTTGAGGAATGAATTGAGTATTTCTCAACAGAAATTGGAGAGCATAGAAAATGACCTCAAGGCTGCAGGAATGATAGAAAATGAAGTTATTGAGAAGCTCAAGTCAGCTGAGGGGCAGTTACAGGAACAGGGAAAAGTGTTGGAGAAAACTACTGAGAGAAGCATAGAGCTTGAATCATTACACAGAACTCTAACAAGGGAATCAGAGCAGAGACTCCAAGAAACATTAGCTAATTTCACCAGAAGAGATTCTGAGGCAAAATCTTTGAAAGAGATATTAACGAGTCTTGAAGATCAAGTTAAAAGTTATCAAGAGCAGCTAGCTGAAGCAAATGAAAGATATGCAGCTGTGAAGGAAGAGCTTGATCAGATTGAAGTGAAGCTAGCTTCTTCTGAGAATGCCAATAAAGACTTGAAACAAAAGATTTTGGATGCAAAAGGTAAAGCTGAACAGTATGTTGCAGAGAAGGAATTGTTAGCCGACACCAACTTACAGCTCAGTAAACAGGCCAAAGAACTTGACGAAAAGTTGAATTTGGCTCTTTCTGAGAAGAACATCTCTGACAAGCAGCTTGCTTCTCACATGAGCACCATCACTGAATTAAGAATGCAGCACTCAAGAGCTGTTGAACTTCAATTAGCAGCCGAAACCCGCATTTCAGGAGCAGAAGCACAGTTGAAAAGAGAGGTTCAGAAAAAATCGGAGCTAACTCAAGAACTGGCTTCATGTAAGTCCAAGTTAAGTGATTTGCAAACCGAACTGTCAACTGTTTCTTCTAAGAAAAATGATGCAGTTGAAAAGCTTCAGTCTGCAAAGAAAGAATTAGAAGATTTGAAACAGAAACTTCAGGTTAGTACTCTAGCACAATATATCTCAAAAAACTTTCCCATCAATNATTTTGGATGCAGAAGGTAAAACTGAACAGTATGTTGCAGAGATGAAATTGTTAGCCAATACCAACTCACAGCTCAGTAAACAGGCCAAAGAACTTGACGAAAAGTTGAATTTGGCTCTTTCTGAGAAGAAAGTCTCTGATAAGCAGCTTGCTTCTCACATGAGCACTATCACTGAATTAGGAAAGCAGCACTCAAGAGCCGTTGAACTTCAATTAGCAGCCGAAGCCCGCATTTCAGGAGCAGAAGCACAGTTAGAAAGAGAAGTTAAGAAAAAATCAGAGCTTA